GTGGGGAGCTGCCAGCCGAGTCCTGGTCTCCTCGTGGAGGTGATGGGCTCTGGTGTCTCAGAAAGACTCCTGCCCTGAGGGCTGTGTGGTGAGAACTGCCCTGGCTTTGCCAAGAGGCACATCCCCGAGGAAACACTGTGACCCTAACTGCAGGCTGCTAGTTCTTCCTGTTGACAAGCTTACCCTGTGAAAGAGTGAAAGTCACTCAGTGGTGTCCAACTCTGTGGCCCCATGGACTGTAGCCCGCCAGGCTCCTCTGTCCATGGAACTATCCAGGTAAGAATACTGGAGTGGGTATGCATTCCCTTCTCCTGAGGATCTTCCTGACCCAGGGATGGAATCTCAGTCTCCTGCATTGCAGGCAGATTCTTTACTGTCAGAGCCACCACTTATCCTGAGACTTGTCAATCTTTGAAGATTCTTGTTCAGTTAGCACCATTTGTTTTTCAAAAACTCTTGAACTCAATGAGAAAAATGAAAACAGGTTATACTTACTTGTTGGCACTCCCTTCATTACTGCCCATTAGGTTCTTTCACCTCAGAGCTATTTTTGGGAATTGGCAGCGTTTACACATTTAAGACCAAATCTGGAAGGGCTCTGTGAGTGCCCCTGGTGGCTCTAAACAGAGAGGCAGAGTGCTCAGACTTCCCTCTAGGGGTGACTCTGCACATCTGCTGTCTCCCTGGGAGCATTCAGTCCAGGGGACGGTTGTGCCCCCTGTTGGGAAGTCACCTTCTTAGGCTCCCCTGTTGGTGCCCTTCACGAGGCTCTGAGAGGCACCCTTGTTGGTATACTGGCTTCACTTGGGTGGGATTTCTGCCTTCTTGATGCGGGTTCCCAGGGGCAAGACATGGCTGTGCTTGGCACTGTGTTGGCTCCACCCAAGTCAGCCCTTGGCCAGTAGAGCAGGAGGTGGTGGGGCTGGGGAGGGGCTGGGGTCTCTGTGCACTAAGGGAGTGGCAGGCTGAAAGGCCCGCTGACTTGGGCAGGTTGGTGGTCAGTAGTGGGACAGTGAGCCCTGAGTTTTGCCCATGTATGCAGGATACAGCAGGTGAGAGTTAAAAACCCAAGTCTGTAGCATGAACACCTGCTTTTGCAGAAGTAGTGTTTTTTGTAACTTGCAATGCAAACCTAGGAAAATAGAGTAAGATGTAATCCAAGGATAAAACAACATTCAGTAAATGTTCAGATTTTCAGGGGAGAGAAAACGCCCATTGTGGGGCAGAGCTGGGCGTTGAGGCTGAGTCGCTGGTGGGACCGATGGACGGCCCTGGGATGCCTGCGGGCTCTGCCAGTGCTGCTCTGGGCTGCGGCTGGGGACTCTGTGGTTCCTGAGCCCTCAGTGAGTTCAGGCCTATAGTCCTTTTAGGATTCAGGCAGTTTGTTGGACTGTAGCCCACCAGGCACCTGTGTCCATGGGATTCTCCAGGCGAGAACACTGGAGTGGGTTGCCATGCCCTCCTCCAGGGGATGCTCCCGACCCAGGAATCAAACCCAGGTCTCCTGCACTGCGGGCAGATTCTTTACCGTCTGAGCCACCAGGGGAGCATCAGAGGGTTTAATTTTGGTTTTCTGTCCACAAACAGGAATCGGGTTGAGGGTGGAGAGGATCCTGCCTTGGGCCCACCATGACAGGTGTGGCCCAGGAGTGCCTATCTGCTGTGGCCGAGCCTGTGGGTAGAGGCAGATGGGCCCGCCTGGTGAGGTTTACACCTCCCTCCCCCGAGGGGGCTGTCAGCAGTAGTGTAGGAAATCTGGGTTCACCTGACCCTCCCCGGACACGCAGGAGGTGTCTTTCCTTTGGATGCCTCTCCGGCAGGTGTCCTTTACCATGAGGTGGTCCACCTGCTTCCCGTGCGTGGGTCCACGGGCACCCGGCAGACTGTAGAACAGTCTCACCCCGGGAAGCCCCTGCACCCGCTGGCCCCTCCCTGCCTGAGCTCTGCCTCTTTCTGATGCATGGTCTCACAACATGGGAACTTAGGAGGTGGCTTCTGCCTAACATCTGAGGTTTGTCCAGGATGCAGTGAGTCTTCAGGTGTCCTTTTTAAAGTGTAAATTCCCCCTCCCTCCCACAAACTTGATCTTAATTTTTTTTTCTTCCCTTTACCTTGGAGTCCTTTGGAATACAGAGCAGCATCAAACTTGGTGTTCCATGTGGGGCTCAAGTGTAGCTCCTTGGTCAAGCTGGTGGGGGCTTCCAGATTTTTTCATTTTCTGCCATAATTAGTTTTAGCTTCCTTTTCGGGCTCCCAGCGTCAACTAAGCAGACTCTGGGGCTGAGCCCTCCAGCCTACTTGGAGCACCTTTGGGGAAAGATAAGTCGTTTTCTTCTGAATGTAAGAATGGTTAACCTGAGACTAATGAACACGGTGCCTGGGCCCAGTCACCGTGTGTGTGTGTGGGGGGGGGGGGGTTCACCTGGAAAGGAGAGGCTGGTGGTGTCCTCATGGCTCCAAGAGGGTCGTCTTTTGCAAGTTTCGAGTAACTGCTTTGTGAATTATAAAACCACTTGTCTTAAAAAGTGAGTGAATGTGTGATTACAAATACAGTTACTGTGATTTTTTTTAATACATGCAACCACTCGCTCCCCAAACAGTGAGCTGAAATGCAGGTATAACAAACATGTTTCCAGATCCTGACTTTATCCTCATAACTGGAGGCTTCATGTGTAGCCTGCATCTAACGGATTTTTCCAATTTCTCTTGTGGATAATTTGCCATTAATTCCCTCTGGGGTTTATATTGATTTAAAAAAAAAACTATTTGTTCATTCATTTTCATCTTCTCAATTGCATTGTCTTTTAGGCCTTTGATTAATTTATGTAACTATTCACTTCTCCACTGTGTACTTTTTGTTGTCATGGGGTAAAAGGTAAAAATAAACATGACCTCCACGCCACAGGGCAACTAAGCTCGTGTGCCACGGCTGTTCTGTAGAGCACAGAAGCCGCAACTAGGGAAGCCAGCGAGCCCTGGAACCTGGGCTCCCAATCAGAGAAGCCGCCTCAGTGAGAATCTCGTGCACCTCAACAAAGAGTAGCCCCTGCTTGCCGCAACTAGAGAAAGCCCACGCAGCCATGGAGACCCAGCACAGCCAGATAAATGCATACAAGTAAACATTAAGAAAAATAAACGTGATTTATAAGACTTGAAAAAGCAAACACATCACCACACCGTGTCCATGGATCCAGATTTGGGACTAGACACTGGTTCCCAGGCACCAGAACGCTGAGTTTGGTGGCCTCCATCTCACAGATGCTTCTGAACACTCAGGAGGCTGCAGACAGGCCACAGTGTACTGCTGGCTGCAGCACCTCACATTTGCATGACCTTTCTTGCCGGCAAAAATCGGCTAACATCAGCAGGCCAATGGCTTCCAAATCTTACCTACTGGCAGAACCTACCTGTACCTGGGATTCCAACTGCTACTGAGTCTGGGAAATAAAATTTTAACTTTTTAGATTCTGAAAGGAATGGACGGCAAGTCTCAATTGACTAGATCCAACACAGATGGACTCAGAAGTAGAAACTTACATGTTTAGTATTGGGAAGACAAGAGGTTTCCTATCAGATTTGCTATTATTAATATTTTCCTGTAAAAGAAAGGGTGAAGTCAACTGTTGCTAAGCATTTTAGTTTCTCTAGCTATTGTGAAGAGAGGAGCAGTGAACTGGCTAGACTGACATTTGTTGAAGTCCCTCTTAAGGCTAGCAGTCATGAGTTTGTAGAGAAAAGTCTGTCCCACTGGGTACTTTCTCCAGTTGTGCTTGGCTCTTTAGGTGTCAGCAAACGGAAAAAGGAGCAGTTGGATTTGTTAGGGGAAGCACACTGATTGAAACCGCCCACCCTGGCCAGGCACCATAGTAACCATTTGCATGAGTTGTTTTATGACAGGAGATCCTGATAAGGAATAGGGAACTAATAAGCCACCACCAACCGGAAGAGTTCAGGAAAGGTCAAAAGGAGACACCGCGTGTCTGTCCACTTCCCAGAATCCCTCTCGCTAGCATCCATCTTGGCTGATGCGTGCGCCACCAGGAAAGACTCTGAATTAGAATGATTGGCCAAAGACTACCCGGAAACAAATCCCATCACCATAAAACTCAAGACTTCGAGCCACGTAGCAGAGCAGTTCTCCTGGGTTCCCTTACCCTCCTGCTCTCCACCCAGGTGCCCTTTCCCAATAAAATTTCTTGCTTTATCAGCACATGTGTCTCTTCGGACAATTCATTTCTGAGTGTTAGACAAGAGCCCAGTTTTGGGCCCTGAAAGGGGTCCCCCTTCCTGCGACAGATTCATCCAGGGTTGAAATTCTTACGAAATCCACGTGACAAACAGACAAGAGAGCAAAGGAGATCAGGGTGGTTGCAAGGGTGTTGTTAAAACTATGGATCATGAAAATAAACAGGGTAAAAAATGAAGAAAGGAGAACTATTAGGAACTATTAGGAAGTAGAAAAGTCAATGGCCTGGTGGTGCTGAAAAGCTGCAACGACACCACAGAGGCGCTGGTGAAGTCTGCAAGCTGACTTTTGTTTTCAGGAACCCTCATTCCCACACAGGCTAACCCTGGACATCTCCTAAACAGGGAAAGGGGTGATGTTTAGCTCAGAAGGTAGAAAAACATAACAGCTTTGAAGCCACAACTAGGTTCACATCTCTGCTTCACCACTTGCAATAAGCGTGACAACGAGCAATTCATTTACCCTGAAACTACGTTTTCCCTTCTTCAAAGTGGGAGAAAAATATTATCGTATGATGGAGAGAGGACTTGAGATAATGCTCGTAAAGCGGTTAACACGTAAAAGCTGTTACTTTTACGTTTGAAGTGTAAAACTTTCAAGGAAGGGTTGAACGCTTCCTAACCCAAGGACATTTCTAAGCGCAGTCTGTTTCACAGACCGTCTGGATTACCAGGCGCATGCGCGTGTCCGCGAGCTACTCGTAGGGCGGGCGCTGCTCATGCGCCGGAAGTTGCGCTGGGAAGCCAGCGCGGTCGGTTCCGTCCGACTCTAACATGGCGGCGCCCTTTCTCTGTTTAGAAGTGCCGTCCCGCCTTCTCGCGGCCGTGACGCCCCTCACGCCACGGTGGGGTCCGGGACATGGCGGGTGAGGGTGAGGAAGCACCGGGACCGGGGTGGGGGGCTGGGGTTTGTCCCAGGAATCGGGCGGAGGCGGCGGAGGATGGGTCGCGCGCGGCGTGACGCCGGGGACGGTTGTGTGGGGGAACGGAGGGAAGTGGACTGGGACCGGAACCGGGACTGAGAGGACCCCGGACTGAGGGGGCCCCGCACAACGTGAGGGTGCAGGGCGCTGCCCGGCGAGCCGGCGGGCCGGGCTCGTCGTCCGGGTGAGGCAGCGCGAGTCGCCTCCGGGCGGACACCCAGCTGGTAGCAGCTCCGCCCCCGCCGCGCGGCTGTCACCGCCCCTCGAGCCGGCGCGCCGCCGGGTGGGTCTTCTGAGGCCGCGGGCTGGCGGGCTGCCAGCGCCGCGCCCTTTGGCCGGCGGGGTCGAGGACTCTTACCTGCGAGGGACTGGAGGAGCTGGTCGTGGTGGAGACCGATGCTGCCCGTATGGGATCAGTTCATTCTTTCGTTCGCTCGGCAGACGGTGGTTCAGCTCCTCGTGGATTCTGAGGATGGAGCGAGTGACCCAGACTGGCGTCATGGTTACAAAGTTCGGCTGTGGAACCAAGCAGCCGGGTTTGAATCCTGTCTCGGTGCTTGCCAACCGTGTCCTTAGGCACGTTGGTTCCTCGCCTCCTGCCTCAGTTTCCTCATTCTTAAAGAGTTGAGAGAAATCTGCTTCCTAAACCGATTATAAAGGTTTAGTGAGATAACAGGGGTAAAGTGCTGAGAAGGCTTGCTGGCACAAAGTAAATGCTGTGTGTGCTTGTTGCTGTTATTTTTTGTATCATCATCATCATCACCCAGAACTCAGAAACTCACGTGGGAGACAGACAGAAACGTAGGCAATTCTGATCTGACGGAAGAAAAGCAGAAAAGTTCTTGCTCTGGAAACACTGAGTAGAGGCACCTCACTCAGTTTAGGTGAATCCAGGAAGTCTTCTGTTCCCCAGGAAACAGAACTGAAGGATGCTTGGGGAGTGCAGGCAGAGAAGGGGAAGAGTATTCTTAGTTGAAGATGGAATGTGTGAGAAAGCTGCCTGGGGACAGCGATGAAAGAGACTAGTCTGTGGTCTGGGCCTCAGGGGTCTTGTTTTGGGGAAGGGAAGCAGGCATGCGGTATGAGGTATCCTTAGTTCCCCAACCACGGATCCTGTAGTGGAATCTCCCCTAGGGAGGCTTTTAAACCTAGCTGTGGACTTGCAGTTTTGGGTTAGTGAGGACACATTTAAGAATCAGATTTGTGGATTAGAAAGATCACTCTAGTGAAGACTAAAGGGAATGGCCCTGGAGGCCCGTTAAGAGGCTGGTAGAACTGTGGCGGTGAGAGATGACCATGACCTTGAGTTAGACTAGAGGCAGAACGTGGGGAGGGATGAGTTGGAGGTAGACTTGACCAAAGTTGGTGATGACTTAGTTGGGGGATTTAGTGGCTGGGGGAGAGGTCCGGGTTGGCTCCAAGGTTTTTTTTTTTTTTTTTTTTTTTTAAGTGAAGTTGCTAAGTCAGGTCCGACTCTTTGTGACCCCATAGACTATAGCCTACCAGGCTCCTCTGTCCGTGGGATTTTCCAGGCAAGAATACTGGAGTGGGTTGCCATTTCCTTCTCCATGGCTCCGAGTTTTTGACTGGTGGATGTGATGCTGCTCGCTGGGGTAGGGAACAGAATGGGGAGGGGGTTTAAGGAGGGAAGATAAATTTTGTTTTGAATATGTCTGTAGTAAATGCAGTAAAACATTCAGATGGAGCTGTCCCGTGGTAATCTAGCATCCATCATAGGTCTCTACAGTTGTGGGAAGGGGACATGTCACCGGGGTGAGGGTCTGGAGTGAGAAGCACAGGATCTGGGACATTCCAGGGGAATGCTAGTGCTGCAAGACTACTTGGGCACAGCCTCGTTGCTTTTGCTTATCAACCTTGTGCTATGTCTTTCGGTCAGCAGGCTTTCCTGAGTGTAGGGGGCTTTCCTGAGTTGTAGGGACTGGGACTAGGTTTATTCATCTTTGTGTCCCTTCTCTCCAGCACAGGGTCTGGCATGCAGCAGCCCAGTGACAATCCAGTGTAACATTTATTGAGCACTGACTTTGTTGTGCCAGGCTCTGTGCTCAGTGCTCTGCATTTGCCTGTGTTTGGTGGATACAGAGCAGCTCTTAGAATCCTACAGGTTCTCATCAGATTTTCCACTTGGTTTTTGATTCAGGTAATGATCTGGAGGAGGAGAGCCAAGCTGGAGTTTCCCCGTCAAGCTGTTGGAACAGAGTAGCCTGGGCTACTTGGAAATCTGAGGTATGTCTGTTAAGACTCAAGGATGAAACCAAGCAGGAGGTCAGTTTGTTCGTCCTTCTCTAGGCACAGCGTGATTCAAGTCACCTTTTCAAGAAAACTTTTTCTTTAAACGTGTACAGTAATGACAAAATCCTAGGTAGTTTGGTTAGGAGAATGTTGATAATGTTGTCGTTTTACTGACAAAGATCTTGCTAGGTTAATTCCTGGGCAGTGTTCACACCTTGTTTTAATTACGTACAATCTAAAATGCTCCAAAATACAGTGGTTGAAAGGAAATAGAAATTTATTCCTGTCCCTTAACAGTCTGGAAGTGGGCAGTCCAGAACTGGTCAGGGCAGCTCACTCTGTTCTGTGAAGTCATCCAGAAGCAAGGGTCCATTGATCATGTGGCTCTCCTTGCTCAAACCCAGGCTTCCATCTTGTGGACTGAGCAGGCTGCTCTGGCTCCTGCCACTGTGTGTGCACTCCATATGGCAGAGAGAGAAAGACAGAGTAGGGAGCACATACCCTTTCCTTTTAAGGTTCTAATGTTTAAATATACATATTTTTGTACAGTGTGTCCCCAAACCCCCGCCTCTGGTGTATAACCAAAGGAGGAATCACGACTGTTCCAATGCTGAAGGGAAAGCTGGCTGAGAGAACCTGTTCTGTCCCCAGTGTGACTGGATTGCTGACTCTGACAGTAGGCCCGAGGGAAGTCCACTCACTGGTGAAACGGGGTGGGGTGTGTTCCTCACCCTCTGGGCCCCCCGAGGCAAGCCCCTCTGGCTTTGAGTTGTTCATGTTGCTTGGGCCCAGCGAGTCCAGGCTTGCTCACACAGCTGGTGTTTTCTGTGCTTGACGTGTCTACACTGCACTGGGGGCTCAGGCTGTGGAGATGAGGGAGCTGGATCCCGGGATCAGGGCATTCTTAGCCACATGGTAATCATGGTATGTGCTTCCCAGGTGGCTTAGTGGTAAAGAATCCACCTGCCAATGCAGGAGATGCAGGAGTGCCCCTGGAGGTCAAGAAGTGACCCTGGAGGAAGAAATGGCAACCCACTCCAGTATTCTTGCCTGGGAAATCCCATGGACAGAGGAGCCTGGCAGATTACAGTCCATAGGGTCAAAAAGAGTCAGATACAACTGAGCACGTGTGCAATCACAGTACAGTGCCGGAAATGCCAGCAGTCTGTTCAGAAGTTGTATGGAGCACAGAAGGATGACCAATGCTGGAGGGCTCTGTGAGGTGGTGAAGAGTCACAGTCCATGACGTGCTTTGGATTGCGTTAGAAAGGTCCCCGCAGATGGAGGCCGCAAGGACTGTGGGGTCAGGTGTGTATCTCTGCTTCCCTGGTTAGAGGCTCTCTGTCCTGAGGGCCAGTTACTCCACTGCTGCGCCTCAGTTTCCTCATCTGTGGAACAGTGATAACAGTGTTTACTTCAGAGAACTGTTTTGAGGAGTATGGGAAATCAAACATGTAGTTCACAGGGCCTGCTGTGAACATGTCGGTTTCCTCCTGCTGCAAGGTGCAGGATGGTTTGAAGCCAGAGAGACTGGTTCAGACTACAGTCAAAGAAGGCCCAGACCACTGGGGAAGCCAGGTTGTGGTCTGTCCGTCTTGAGGCAGGTTGTCCAGGTTGTACTTAGAGGATCAGGGACTGCTCTGCGCACTCCCTGTTTTTCTCAGGAGTTCTGCCAGGCTTTCCAATTAAGGTGGTCCGTCTGGATTTTCAGAGGCTGTCCTCTGAAAGAGCTGGTGAGGGGTTCTTTGGGAAGGAAAGGATTCTCTCTGCCTGGTTAACTGCTTCAAGCTCAAATGCTTCTGGGAAACTTTCTCCTAGTCCTACCCACCCTTCCCACTCCCTCCTCAGTGACTTTGAGCTCCTCCTCTGTGACTTCTAGCATCCTTCTACGGTCTCACGGTACATTCTTACCTCCTGTGATGTTATGGGTTTCCTCACCTGTCTGCCTGTGAGACCACAAGCAGCTCATGTGCAGGGACAGGGCCTTGTTTCTCCAGGTGTTCCCACTGTGTGGATCATTTCCTGGCATGGAGCTGATGCTCAGTAAACACTGGGATGAATGGACACTCAGCCAGTGGGGCTAGCGAGACCTCCAGTGCGATGAGGGTTTGGCGTGCTGTTGATGAAGAGAGGACACGTGATGGTTTCCTTGGTATCTGTGTGTAACATGGCGTGAGAACGTGGTGAACCATGACCTAAACTACGAGAGTTTAGGTCAGAGACTGTTTCTGTCTGTCTTTTTCCAGTAGAGCAGTTTCTCAGCTTTGACGTGGTTGCCGTTTGGGGCTTGCTGAGTCTTTGTCATGGGGGCCGTCTTGTGCACGTCAGGGTGCTGAGTAGCACCCTTGGCCTCTGCCCACAGGTGCCAGCAGCCCCCGTCTACCTCCAGCTGTGACAAATGGAAAGGTCTCCAGAGGAGGCCATGTGTCTCCCAGGGCAGAAGTGCCCTCAACTAAGAACCTCTGAGGCCTTCCCAGGTGGCTCAGTGGTAAATAATCCACCTGCCAATGCAGGAGATGTGGGATCAATCCCTGGGTCAGGAAGATCCTCTGGAGAAGGAAATGGCAATACCATTGCAGTATTCTTGCCTGGAGAATCACATTGACAGAGGAGCTTGATGGGCTACAGCCCATGGGGTTGCAAAGAGTCAGACATAATAGAGCAACTTGACAACAAAAAACAGCAGAGAATCTCTGGGGTACAGGCTGCTGGTTAGAAGCATGAACTTCTAAGTCAAAGATACTTGAGCCTAACATATCTAGTCCTTGTACTTACTAGCTGTGAGCCTTTGGATGGAGTATTTGACCTCGCTAAGCCTCCGTTTCCTTGGTTGTGTAGTGGGAATAATGATGACCTCACGCTAGCTTTATTGGGTGGAATTATTAATGAGGTAATGCATGTAAATTGCTTCATTTAGTCTTTGAGTCCACAGTTGTTATCTAGTGTTTACCATGTGTTAGTTAGGAGAGGATGGTCTAACAACAACCTGTGAGGGTCAAGAGAGAAAGCGTGCAGAGTTGAGGAAGAAAAATGCTTAGGATAGGAAAGTGAGTGACCCTCTCAGGTCGGACCCGGTTCTTGTCCCAGGTAACTCTTAGCTGCGTCTGTGTGTCCTTGTGCCTTCTGTGCTCATGCATGTCTGTATGTGTGTGCAGGGGAGACATTTTAAAGGGTCATGTGCCTTGATTTTGTTGCACATAAACTGAGCCTTCAGTCTAGAATGCCGAAAGGGCAGCCTCTGTAGACAGAGCTTCAGTTGGAACAGTTTGCCACAAAAAAAAACCCAGTCTCTACCATCCTGGAATTCCCCCAAGGATGGTGCCACATGGGTGGCATAGGTTCTCAGACCTGGTGTCTGGCAGGGTAACGGACACCACCAGAGGAAGGGACTCCAACCTCACAGGAAATGAAAACCTCCAAGCACATTTTGTGCACAAACCATATCATCCTAGAGACTGTGATTTACCATAATCAACTTTCACCAGCCACATTTTTCAGTGATTGAAATAATAGAGGTCACAAAGAGTAGGCATTTTAGCAGCGAGTGATTTTGGTGTTTGCTCCAGGTGTCTGGCCCTCTCAGAGGTCCTCATGGGTATCAGTAGCTTAAGAGTCTGAGGGCCGCCTATGGTTGACCTCAATGATGTAGTCACAGATGGTACAGAAAGCCCCGACGTGGGCTCTTACATTCACACCCGCTTGTTAGGAGTTGGAGAGGTCAGCCTTGAGCTTCAGAGGAAGGAAGTGGGGGGCAGGGTTAGAGCTGAGAGTTGCTCATTCGACTCTAAAGAGCAGTGTGCAGAGGCTCAGAGGTGGCATTTCCCGCTGGGAGTCTGCCGAAAGCAGCCCTGGTGGGCTCACTGTCACCTCAGAAATGTACTCAGCTTCTGGTCTTAAAAGCTCTGGCAGTAGAACCTGTTCCCCCTACCCCACCCACTCCACTTCCTCTACTGACCCGATTCATCTAAGCAGTACCTTTCCTGTCCTGAGTGGAAGGCTCCAGGGCCCAGTGGGAAGTTATCTCCAGCTCAGGAGCCTGGCTGCTGAAGCATTTCTCATCTCTGTAGTCTCAGGGCTGGGTGGGCCCCTGTCAGAGACTTTCCTGGTTGAGTGTAACTCAGTCAGCGGCCCAAGTTAATGCTTCAAGTCACGGCTTAAAGTCAGAAATAACACTGGTTAATTCTGTAAGCTGTCTTGCTGAATACTGAGTAGATAGAAAAGAGTGGTAGCGCCTGAAGGGTGAGCATGCAAGGAGCACCTGTACACCCACCACTGAGTCCACACAGACGAGTGCCGCCTTTGCCTCTGCAGTGCCCCTCCCTGGTCCCGCCCCACTCCCACACACAGAATCTCGGAGTTCGCTTTTACTGTTTTCATGCTTTTCTTTTTTCTTTCCTGTTCTTCTGGTCCCCTGGCTTGTGGGATCTTAGTCCCCCGACCAGAGACTGAATCCAGGCCATGACACTGTAAGTGCTGCGTCTTAGCCACTGATCGCTAGGGATTCCTGTCTCTTGCTTTTCTTTAGTTTTACCACGTGTGTTTGTGTTGCTAAACAACGTTACTTTATTTAATTTTACATGTTTTTGAACTCAGTACATCATCTTGTTTTTTTCAAGGTCTAAATTTTTTGCTTTACGTGTTCTTGAGATTAATCCATGTTGCATATCGTTTTCACTGATTCTTGTTCTGTTGTGTGAGAATTTATGTATCCTTTCTATTTTTGACGGACATTTGTTTCCAGTACTTTGCTGAGACAGACAGTGATACTATGACCATTCCTGGGGCGCGTGTGTGCAGCCTCTCAGGATACACCCCAGGGAGGAGGACTGAATCCTAGAGTGTGTGCACCTTCAGTTTGACTAGAGTTACACCAGGTCACTTCCAGAGTGGTGTCCCCAGTTTACAGCTCACGGGACAGTTCTTCCCGCTTCATGTCCTCCAAACAGTGGTACTGTCAGATTTAAGCTTTATACTAGTCTGTTGGAAGCTCAGTG